TTGTCCCGTCACGTTGTGACCATCTTATATATACCAGGCTACCCCCAATCTAGTAATCTCCCGACAATTCACGAAGGTTCGAGAAAGAAGTGGCGTGATACTAGTCACGTGACCTCGCTGACGCAACAATATATATATATATATAATCTGGGTTAAAAGGATTATAGTAACTGTATTATTCTTTGCTGGGTGAATTGACATTGTTTAAATGTGAAGCTGACCAATGCTGTAAGAGAACCAAAAAAAAGTGGCACTGCTGTATGGACAAAGAAGAGCCAAGTTTACCTATTGAATTCAGACATGCTTTTTTGGTTCGATTATTCTAGAAAGTCGTAGCCTAGTATAGAGATTCGATTGTGATTCTGTTTGCGCAATTATGTACGCAACATTTCTTTCTTGCATGTTTTGTAATAAAGATTCCATTCATTTTTCGCTAAATTTACCCAGTTTCGTTATTTTACACACACTAGGAAGACTCTGTTAAATTATCAGATTCAGAATATTCTCTTATCTCCTGAGCAAATATATGGTTATTAGCAGGTCCAACTATCTGATATTTGTCGGCAGCCCCCCCCCCCCTCCTCCAGTGGCACAGTGGAATGTCTGCGGACTTATATTACTAGAAACCGGGTTTCGATACCCATGGAGGGTGCAAGACGCTATACACTTTCAACTGTGGGAATAGCATATATGGCGGCGGTTACTACTGACTATCTTCCTTCATGTCGGTAGTTCAAAATTAAAGATATCTATATTTCATTCTTATTGTCTCTGTCCTGGCCTTTTAATTTACGTGAGTATAAAATGCTGCGTTCAGGTTGAAAATTGCAGAATATTTTACTGGAGCCTCGAGAGTATACTGTTGGAAGCCCTCCAGTGACTCAGCGGTAAGTTTGATGGTTTATAACGCTAAAAACTGGGTTTTGATACCTGTGTTAGGCATATACATATAATCCATTGTGTAGCTGTGCGCTTAATCACAAACAAGCAAATGTTGTGGAAGAGTAAGTATATTTCAATGTTACGTTTTTTAAAATTAAATAATAATTAATTATAAGCATGATTGAATATAATATTGTTTTGGGCATAGTTTATTTATACATTGAAATTTCATCTCTCTTTTTTCTTTAATGCATTTTATACAATGACAATAAAATATTTTTTTCATGTTATTTTCGAATTTCGAAATTGTTTAGTCTCGCGCAAATTTACAAACACTGGCTGTGATAATTTGTTGTCTTAAAAAATTGACATGTATTCTATACCATTGGTATGAAGTAATCTCAGTTTGGCACGTATTTGTAATTTTGTTTTTCTAGAGTTACCGAATGAACGACCAAAATGTTTAACCTATATGAAAACCCTTAATTTGTCTAAGATTTTTAAATTTCTTATTGAAAATAAATTAACAACAAACAAAGTACCAAATCAATTATTATACAAATACTATTATAATTAGGTTTTGAGCCGTCAAATACGATACGGTTTAGACGAGGGACGAATTTAAGGCCTAAATCTAGCACTAAAAAATCAGCCCGGGAAATTGATTCACCTCAAAGAGTCGAAGTTAGAATTTAAAGTTAAACTAAGGTGAGACTCATTTAGTTTATAATTATTAATAAATTATATTACTTGAAGTTCAGCAACTAAGGCGAGCTAGAATGAATGATTGATAGTTATATACCATTGACATTATTTTTATTTTAAATAAAAATACAACCTTGAAAGTTGAAGGAACAAATGGCCCTTTGTAATACTAACAGTTTGTTGTCTGTATCAGTGTACGTATATTATGTTACTATTTTAGGTTATGGTATTAATACTTTGGATCATACTAAATTCTCGTGTATCAACTTCTGACACTTGAGGTTTTACTAGTTCAGAATTAAATCGGTTACTGGATAGCTATGGGCTTTTGCTTTCAAATTCAAGTTTCAGTGATTCATAACACTTCTGTGTGGGAATTATGCTTTATAACTTGTATTATAAGTTCTTAAGATGATAATTTGTTGAAGTTAGCAAAGAGCAATCCTGCTTCTTTATATACAAAGACTAGACTAATTAGTACTAGCTTAGTGTCATTAGTATATTACTGTTAGCATTAACACTTAGGCTTGGAAGTTGATAAAATCTGAAAAATAATCAATTAAAAGTTGGTAACTGTGAATAATTCCCACAAACATTTAAATTGGATTAGATTTTTGAAATACACTCAAAAAGCATTGATCTTACATGAAGAAACTATAGAATTTTGACTTCCTATACATAATGTGTACAGTACTTAAGCCTTAACTTAAGGTCAACTGCTGTCATCAGTGATTTGTATAACTTATATGACACAGTGCCTAATAAAAACATTATGGAGTTCATTAATATGTTATGAAAAAATAAGTGTCCTGTATTCTACTGGTTTATAGTAATTGTTCTCACAATTATATAATAGCATTCATAATTGTTCTAGTATTTCACTCTACATTTTACAGTCTTATTTTTATTACAGACAATAGTAGAACTTAGAAGTGAATTTACAATGCATGAGTTATATTTTCAGTCTGATGATAAATTATTTTATGGATGGTTTATGCAAAGTGTTCATGATGAACAAAGTTGAAATGGGTAAAATCTGTCTGATTCAGGATGACACTTGAGAAGAAAGGCTTGGAGAATTAATTTTACAAAAGCAGCTCAGTTGGGAAATTAACTTCAATCAATAACATAACAGTTTTATTGATTTACATCAAAGATAATTGGTTCATTTGACTTGCATCGTGTTGCTATGGGAGGCTGAACCACTATCATGATTGCTAATCTAAAATTTATGGACAGCATAGGACCAGAACAAATTGTAGTGAAATGGGCAACAATTGCCTAGTTCAGCATGACACTTTGGAAGAAAGTCTTGGAAGACTGATCTACAAAAGTTGCATAGCTGAAAAAAAAAAGGACAGCTTTTTATCTTCAGATGAAAGACAAAAGTCTTTTGAAATTTTGTTCTTTTTCCATCTGTGCTGCATTTGTAGATCAGTCCTCCAAGATTTTCTCCACCAGTGTCATGCTTAAGGCAGTTGATGTTGATTTCTTCACTGTTTATTCATCATGAAGCCTCTGCCTATTTTATCTGTAAAAGAATAATGGATCTACTTTTCTATCTAGGCCATCCTATCCACTAAATTAAACTTCAAAACAAAGCAAACAAAAGCAACAGCTTAAGCCAACCCTTATCATTCAAATAGCTTCAGAATAAACCATAAAGAAATCATAGGTTTTTATACTGTTGATTCCCCTGATTGACTTGTAAGTTTCAATACAATCACCTCTAACCCTTCTCTTTTCATGAGAAAATAAGTTCAGAGATGTTAAAATATCCCTTCAATCTTCAAAATCATCGCTAGTAATCCTTCTTTGAACCCTTACTAGTAAGCCAGTATCCTTAGATGAGATCAGAGCTACATGCAGTATCCAAGTTAGGTCTAAGTAGTTATCAAGTCAAGTCTACTTGAGTATCAAAGCTCGTGGTACTAATATAATAATATGATGGTGAACAATGATTTATAAGCATAAAATTATTTCTTTTTGGGGAAATGTACTAAATATTTCAACAGAAGACAGACCAATGTTCAGTTGAAACATGTAGTATGTTCCCCCAAAATTATATCATTTCATTACACTAAGAAATCATTGTTTACCAACCTATTATTAAGTAATTTCTAACTAGTGATTTGTATAAAGATAATTACCACTTTTGACTTGTTATCAGTATGTCTCTAACCCTCATCAACACACCTTTGAAAAGTTGTGTTATGGAACACTTGGGGTCCAACCTGACCCCAGCACAAAATTACCATTATAGTAAGCTCTGGATTGAAATTCCAAAAACCAAGTGCATTACAACTTTTATTAGGGTTAGCATGCAATGTGAACAACATAAAACTATATGCGTTCTAGAGGAAATATATTGATAAATCAATAAATTACATTGTTCCTCAGTATACAAGTAAGTATTATTATACCATTCCTATACAAACAGTATATCAAAAAATGCTGAATTTTATTATACTCCTATATTCAAGTCATTATTTACCAATTTATGATGAAATTACCACAATACTGCTTAATTCAACTCAAATAAAACTTAAAGTTTACGTTGTGTGTCACTTTGGGTCTGATCAGACCCTAACACAAATTTTTCCTTATAGTATACTGTGGATTGAAAATCCAATAACCAGCATATTTGCAACAATGTTCAAACAAGGTTTCTGTAAACTAGGGAATTATAAGCAGTTATCACAGTGAAGGAATAAGATGGGCATATATGCTCACTACAATGATGTTATAAGCAAACAGACAAGGCAATACTGTACTACTGTGATGAATTATTCTCTACAACAGCCTGTATAGTTGAATAAACATTTAGAAATTTGTATTGTATGCTATAGGGCAAACTGCATGTATAGTGATGGTCGATGATAGTATGGGGTCCACGTGGACACCAGATAAATATTAGATTGTAGCTACATACTCCATTTGCCTGTTTTGAAAACAATAATGTCATATTGATCCAGGTTCTCTGCTTGATAATGACATGAAATTATATGAATTTGTAAGGATTATGTAAAAAGATATACAACTGAGAAAGTCGTTGTGGTCCATGTGGACCCCAAGTGTTCTGATGAGGGTTAAATAAACACTAATATTCTATTAGCTTTACTATGAACAACAGAACACAACCTTGATATTTGATTGACATATGTTCCACTATGTCAAGATTTGTTTCTTTGATCATGGTGTTGAGTATGTTCGTATGTATATTAAACGTGTGATTCAAATGCATTATCTTGCATTTACGATAATGAAAGACTATGTGCTAGTTCTTTGCCCCATTTACCAGTTTATCCAAGTCATTCTGTAGTACCTTAACATTCTCAGTAGGATTATAAATACTCATCAGTTTAATGTCTTCAGCAAACCTTCAGTAGTGTATCTTACCTCTTTTCTCAAAAAGCTATATCAAAGGGCACTAGTTATGATAGGAGTAGCATCACACTCCTATTGGTGGAGGGTTGGTGCATGGTCATTTGCATGTAGATTTGCAGAAAGAAGTGGGAGTTACAATGCTAGTGGGAAGCAAAAAATTTGCACCAATGTGGGCAAAGTGGAAGAGTCTGGCCCCCACTGGCCCTGACCTGAATGCCTGAAAAATTACAACAGGCAGCAAAACGATTGTGCAACACAGATGGATGAATAGTCATACTTTCCCAGCTGATTTTTCCAAGCCCGTTCCCCGTCTCTGATAATACACCTATTAATCACTTCTTGATTGGCAGTCTTATTGTCGAAGTGTGTTTCTTTTCGCTTGTGATTTTCGTTATATTTTCATTTTGTGCGTATCTCTTTCTTGATATTTTTTGTTCAATTTGTTCGAGTTTGTAAGTATGCACTCACAGTTTCAAGCACTTACAACTACCACTACTGTTCCTACATCTACAGATTTACCAACCACTTCTTTAGGGTTGGTCTCCCCCTTTATCGGCTGATGACATAACTGCTATGATCCATAGAGAGTTGTCTAATTTCATGTACCATTCACCACCAACTGAGAAATATCCTGTCCTACCAATGCCTGGTGTGCCTGACAGAGAGGATGAGAACTTGGACAGCCCCTCCTGACTATACTTCTCACTCACATGCTGTATCAGGGTACTTGCCATGGCTTCCTTTCCCCTTTGTTCACTTGATTAATTAGTTTTTTTTTATTTTGTCTTTTTTTCTTCTGTTTCCTGTGATTCTACCCCTGCCATACTAGGGGATGAATCTTTGGGTCAGTATCTGGGTTTTCCTCCTTTACTGGATATTGAGGTTCCTGTTAGTCCTTTTGGGGATCAGTAGGCATCATCCCCTTAGTACATTGGATGATCATACTTTTGCTTTTCATTGTACCAACTACCCATATTTAGACTCAGTATTTGAAATCACTTATTCCTTTGTGGGTTTTGGACCCTAACGCTTCAGTTTTTTTTCTTCCAACCTCAATTTTCCTGTCTTCATCTTATGATGTCCACTATTCTCTGTGCCTTACCCTCCCTTCATCTTTTAGCAGAGGCTAGTCATCAGTCTCTTGAGGGGTTTTCTGATGATTCTTGTAGTCTCCTATTTGCTACCATGGCATGCCTTTCCTCTTTGGCCCTGGCTTTACAGACATGGTTGATATGTTGTTGGGATCTTTTAGGTCAGGATGCTCTTTTAACCAGGGTTCATTTACTCGCTTCTTCTTTGTGGAATTTGTGCATGTCTCCAATTTTCTGTGAAGAGGTGTTTGGGGGGTCTTCCCAACAGTTTGGAGTCCAGGGTTGAATCAGCCCATATACATACCTCCCTTCCCTCACTAGCTTCTTATTTGTCCCTCCCACCTGTTTCTGTTTCAATGGCTTTCTCCACCTTCTAACTTTTTGCCAGTCCCAACTTTTCATCCATCTGTGTTGCACAATCATTTTGCTGCCTGTTGTACTTTTTCGGGCATTCAGGTCAGGGCCAGTGGGGGCCAGACTCTTCCACTTTGCCCACATTTGGAGGTCGTTTACATTCAATCCATG